GCATATATTTAGATCCAAAACGACGTGCATCGGAATTTGATCCATCACTTATACCACAAGTAGCAAATACAAAATTTCTAAAAGATGATCCAAGTTAATATTTTATTCATTTTGTTTTTTGTTTTTGTTTCAAAATAACTTTATTTTTATTTAGCTCGAAATCCTGCACTACCAATAGTACCTGTATGAAAAAAAAAAGTTTTACTTTCTTTGAAAAACAAAACAAAAAAAAAACTCAGAGAGAAAATCCAATAAGTATTTACTTTTATAGAATACATCGATACGAATTCAACATGCAGCTTATGTATTACGAACATGTATACTTAGTAAAGCACCACAAATGATTCGTGATCGTAAATATCATTTAAAAATACATCGAAGTTGTTTAGTTGGTTCGGAAATGGTCGATTGGCTTATTCATCAAAGTCCCAGTGAGATATTTGTTTTTTCTATTTATTATTATTATTATTATTATTATTATTATTTATTTTCTAGTTGTTCATTCACGTAGTCAAGCTGTAGATATGTGGCAAGCTTTACTTGAAGAAGGAGCTATTGCACATGGTAAAATATTGAAAAAAATTTTTTTTTTTTCTTTTTTGAATATTTTAATTTTAATTTATTTTAGTTTCACAAGAACATTATTTTAAAGATAAATATTTATTTTATCGTTTTTCTGGAGATGAAGATGAAACATTAATAAGACCAGGCAATGTTGAACAAAATGAATGTGAACAACAATTAGCTGATGTTATTTTAACATTAGCTCAAGTCGGACCGGATGCTATGCTTAGAATGATTTTGAGAAAACCGTTAGAACTATTTATTTATTTATTTATATATAAAATATTTTTATTTAATTAAATTTTTTCTTTTTTAGACGTCATGAACGAACAATAGATGATTTAGAAATAATTTATGATGAATTATTACATGTTAAAGCATTATCACATTTATCATCTTTGGTTAAACGTGAATTATCAGGTGTACTTATTTTTGAAGCACATCCATTTAAAGGCAAAGTTTGTAAGAATAATTGAGAATATTTATTTTAATATGAAAAATATCATATTTTATTATTTAACAATATTGATTATATTCAAGTCAAATGAATATTTTCACTGTCAAATTAACTAAGTTAAAAAAAAAACGAACTATCTATTAAATATACCGATTAATATATTCAAATATGATGGTAAATATTCTAGAATAGAAATTTATCCTCATTAATAAGACCACCCAATGAAAATATTTAACAAAGGATAATTGAAGATCATGAATTTTTATTGTGAGAGAGAAAGAGGAAAAAGAAAAGAATGATTTTTATAGTCTATATTATATTATCACATTCTACAATATCAGAAGTATTTTTTTTTTTTTTTTTTATTTTTTCCTCATTAGATAGAACTAACAGAGTTTCATAAGGTAAAACAATATCACATATATTCAAAAGCAATATTAGAAATTATCTACAATATATAATTACTATTAAATATTAATATAATATAAACTAAATTGTGACTGTTGTTTTAATTGTTTTCAATATGTATCATAATGTTTTTTCTTACATAATTTGTCAACTTCTAACCAACGACGACAATAAAAGTATAATATAAAATGCTGCTGAAATTTACAAGTATAGTAATATGACGTAGACAGTAAATAACTTAAAATTCAATTCAAACATCTCAATTTGTGTATTTTATTAAGAGATCATTTTTAAAAATAGTTAATTTGACAGTATAAGCATGGATTTGACTAGAATGTTGTTAATATTTTCAGCATAAACTATACGATCTGCTATTGTTAGAGTAAAAAAAACGAACATGTTTTTTTAATATTTAAGTATTTACACAAGGTGATGAAGGAAAATCTTGGTATATTATATTAAAAGGTTCAGTTCAATGTATTGTTTATGGTAAAGGTATTGTGGAAACATTTCATGAAGGTGATGATTTTGGAAAATTAAGTTTAGTTAATAATTCACCAAGGTTAATTTTTACTTTTAAAAGAAAAAAAAAAAGATTTTTTTTTTTTCTTCAATTAATATTTCAGTTTTCTTTTTCTTTTTCTTTTTCTTTTTCTTTTTTTTCTTAAATATAGAATAGCAACAATTATTCTAAATGAAGATAATACACATTTTCTTCGTGTTGATAAAGATGATTTTAATCGTATACTTCGAGATGTTGAAGCAAATACAATTAAATTAAGAGAATTTGGAAAAGATGTACTTATACTTGAAAAAGTTCCGATTAATGTTAAAACAGCTGATTCGACGACATATCAAGTTTGTTACAAGTATGTTTATTAATATAATCTAGAAATTATTCTTGTTTTATCTTCAACAATTTTTAAACTATTCGATCTTAACTCAATTCTTTTAATCCCTCAACATGTTCGACAATGAGACAATGAGAAAATAAAGTAATTTAGTCAAATTATTATATTGATTGATGATTATTATTAAACTAGTGATATGTTGTTTGAATTGATCAATCATTTAGAAGATTAAGAGCGATAAGACAAATTTCTACAGAATTAAACTAGACAATAGACTAGAGAGAATTTTATTGTAAATAACAATACTTAACTCTTTAAGTACAATTGTCCTGAATAAATAATACTTTTTTTAAGTATCTTAATTTTTGAATAACTCGTGAACGCAAAATGATAGTGAAGTGTGGTTTTCTCTTTGATGTAGATGAAACTTGGATGCATACATCTATACAAGAGTAATCATCCTAATGATGTTACTCAGTCAGTACGTCTGATGGATCTTTGGAACACCATTTCTATTCGAAAATGAAGGAAGTCGGATAATGACTCTACTTGGTTGGAAAAATATTTCGATTTTACGTGTTGAAATCAAGTTATGAGTAACTCATAATGATATTCCAAAGGTTGATTTGGCGACAATACTCAATTCAATATTGACCTAAATCCGTACTCCTCCACGTGGATGACCAAAATACTTTGTCATTCCTGTGGAACAGTATGGACATGGACCAAAAATATTCTTTTTTTATT